AATCACATCAGCTGAAGGCCTCCGTGGTGAGGGTAGCGGGCCGTGCCCATCTTGAATTATACCCTGGCATTTGCCTTACAACTGGGGAAATGCACGGAAAACCTCAGTCAGGGTAGCCGAGTAGTCAGACCACTCGTTGCGCCGACTTGGCCGTCTTTTCAGGGACAGTCTCGGCTGGCCTGCTTAACATCATCATCCTCGGTTGCCCTTCGGTTACCTCTGTCGGCACAAGTGCCTCCCAAATTGCTGAACTATGGGGTTCCCCACACCAGCTAACTTTGAGTCAAAGCTCTCAGTCAGTGCTCTGATGAGATCAGCAAGGAGCGGGATCCCCAAATCCTCGTGAATTTGCCTGTTACTTAAGTACCTAGTAGGTTCGTTAGTCGCAATGCGAAGACACTTGGATTGTAACACTTGCAGCTTCCTGACGTGGCTGTAACCTTGATGGATCTTTGTCAGTCCAAAATATACATAAAAATCCACCATTATTGTGACAAGGTTTATTTTATGATCACGTCATTAGAAATACGTTTACGGACATGCAGACGAATTAATCAAGAGCATTTCATCAAAACAATTTAAATAAATATAGAACAATATCTTTCATACATTATGTTCAATATGATGTAATCTTCCTTCGGAATACACGCTATCAGTAATGTATGATATCTCTGACATCTATTTTTAGTTAAAAGAAGAGTTTATCATAATACACGCTCTGAAGTCACAACTACTGCCCTCTTTCAGCGCATCGGAACAACTTCTGAACCAAGGGGCAAGGAAAAACGAAATATGGAGCGTCTTTAGTGGCACAAAGGTCGGCTCCTGAGACACCTTACGTAATTAATTCTGTTACAAGTCATCGATACTATTACTAAACTGCAAATCTCAAAGCGAACTAAGCAAGAAAAACTAAAATATATACGCTATGAGAATTTTATAATTTATTCATTAATATAAGAACTTCATATGTTAGGAAATATAATAACAGTAAAATTTCGGACATATGCGTGCTGATTGTTTTATCAATTTACAGGTCGCTTGCTCACAAGCGGCATAATTTTTAATCAGAACATAATTTGCATTCTTCCAGCTTTTGTTTGACATTGTCTCCGTCCCATAGAATTCGAGATTGTAGGTGACAGGAATAGCTGCACTGACCGGAAATATAAGTGACCATGTAATAGGAAAAGAAGCAAATCATAAAACACCACTCTCATCCTATGAAATTTCGAACTTTGAATGCGTAACGTGCATGAAAGAAAAATTGACTTATAATTAAGTGCAATTTACATAGTCTTCCTAATGGCGACCATTCGTAGATGTATTTTGAGGTGCATAAATAATTCACATGAACCAATAGTTTTACCACATATGGAGGAGGTGTTTATTGGTAGAGCACCAAATACAAAAATCACAGACAAAAAATGTTCCAGGAACCAAGGTATAGAAGCCACCAAAATAACTTCATAATTTCACATAATATAACGAATGTGTTATAATGACAATTTATATTTGTTTGCACAGTAACCTGTAGATTGATTAAATAGTATACTTATTTTTCAGTGAGTCTTTGTGCAGATATCAGTGCATTGGAAGTGAGAATTAAACAGGTGGGACCAAATACTACTGGTGTCAATGGCTTTGCACTTAAGAAGAGTGGTACCCAGGTTTTAAGACATGGCGACAAACTGGAAATTTTGCTTGGACAGTACATACACATAGTAGAATTTGAGCCTCCACCATCAGTAGATGGGAATAAGAGAAAACTTGATGAAACCAGTATATTGAACAAGAAACTGTGTGGTGAATCACTGGAAAAGGATAGTGGACTGGCTACACCTAAAACAAGTTCAGATAGTAAATGGGAAACTATTGATAATGGGAAACTTTTAATTTATACATCAAAGCATGTTGTAGCACAATCAAAGGTGAAAAGAAACAGAAATTTCTATATCAAATTAAATATTACTGTGCTTGACATATCCATTTTCTTTATATACACTGGCAGTCATGCTTATCAGCTAACATATACAATTGCCTCTGCACATTCTTGTCACAGTATTTCAGTATTAGTTCAAATTCTTTGTACTAATATTCTGATTGTCATGGATTAGGCTTAAGCCTGTTCTGATTACATAATTATCTTTTAATAGCTTTGTATATATTTACAGAGTCCCACATAACTGGGAACTTAGCTATGTGGTGACTCAAAATATAATATTTTTTTCCAGATTGCTGCTTATGATCTTGATGGTACCATAATTGTTACTCAGTCAGGCCATGTCTTTCCCAAAGACTGCAATGACTGGAAGATTGCATTTAGTGAAGTTCCTGGAAAGTTAAAGCAGTTGCATAATGATGGCTATAAAATTGTGTTCTTGACAAACCAAGCTGGAATAGGTCGGGGCAGTCTTAATCTAGAAGATTTCAAAGCTAAAGTTGTTAGAATTGTGAATAAACTTGGTGTTCCAGTACAGACTTTCATCTCTACTGGGAAGGGTATCTACAGAAAGCCTGCTCCTGGAATGTGGAATGCTCTAGTAAGAAAGGTATATTACAAACTTAAAACTGTGACTGCTTCACCTAGATATTCTGAGTTCACTTTCACAAACCATTACACATTAATGCTGCTGCCACACATGAAACTTCAGGGGCAAAATTGTTACACATTACAAGTAGTGCTCAATATGCGCCGGTTCAGAATAACACTGATTTTGAAACCAGCAACTCAAAAAGTGAAAAAAAATACTATTATTTAAAATGTTTTACAATGTATCTCATACTGATTATTGTACTAAATCGTAATTCTTACAAACTGGACAAACGAATTGCCGATTGTAAGTGTATAAAATATATTTTTTAAATTCCCTTTATTTTATTTACGTTATTTCAGAGCTTTAAATGTAATGCCATTATATTACTCATCAATGTTTGGGTACTGGGAATGCATGTCATTGACTTCAGATTGATTTACATTATAAAAGAGTTTCAATTTACGCCGATTCCGTTTACGCTGGTTCGTCCAGGAACGCATCCCCGGTGTAAATCGAGGGCTACCTGTATTATGGCTATATGATAGAAATAATTGTACTTTGTTGATATAAAGTTATATGTAGAAGAAAAATGTTCTGAATGAAGTTTAATACTGTTCAAAGATCTGTTCACATACAAAATTTCAGCATTGACCACTGATTTTACGTCCAGATGCTCATCTTTTATTATTGCTACCAACATTGAATTGAATTGAATTGAATTTTAAAATGTTAATAATTTTAATTCTGTACATGTATTCTAAAACTTTTGGATGGTTAATTTGGTTCAAAGTTCCAGTTCAGTCCAGTCAGTAGTCTAATTGTAATGGAATGGGATTTTATAATCTTATTATATACAGGTTCTCAGTGGCTGGTAAGATAGCACCAGCCCCAATGACTGTGAAATTAATTTATTTTGAATACACATGTGTAGCCCTAAATGTCTCAGTTTTTGAAAAATTTAAATTTAATTTCAGATGCATGTCAATTTGCTATTTGTGTACCATGTTTAAATTTTAATGAAATAAACTGGAAATGTGTTTCAGTAATATTCACATTTCTGTTTGCTAGTGGGAAAATACATTGTAAGCTTAAGCTTGTAAATTATATAATTACGTGGTTATGATTTTTCCCACCCATGTAATGGCCCCTGGAACAGTCACCTCTTTTTCAAATGGACCTTAGTAGACAATACAGTTGAACTTGTTTATAACAAGATCTTGGCTATTGCAAGCAAACAGAGATGATTTGGTTGGAAATGATGTATTTTATGAGCAACATTTCAAGGTTAAAGGGATTGCAGTAGTTGCGAACTTCACAGGTGTAAGGAGCAAATCTTTAAGCCGTTATAACGAGCAGTGGCTGAACTCCCATACGAGGGATTAAGATCTATTACTGCTTTACCTGTTCATGACATTCTCCCTCTTATCTCTTTCCACACCCTGGCTGATAGCAATTTCAAACCCTTTTAACGATATTTACAGTCGACATTCATAGTGTGTTTGATCTGATTTCTGTTCCCAGAATCTCATTTAGTGTGGTATGCTACTCACAAAGAACATAGTCCTCATTTCAGTGGTGTAGTGGAAATCCCCGCAGATCCTGCGTGGTGGGGGTGAGGGGGGCCTGCACTGCCTCATTTGAATAGAGCATGTCCTATGCTGTGGGTACACATGACATTAGTTTTTTTTTCCAATTTCTTAATCCTCTCTTATGTTATGGATTCTTAGAAGACAGGGAGAGAAACCAACTGTCAAACTAACCAATGAGATATTTTCTGTATCAGTATGAAATATTCAGCCACAATAACGGATATAACGAATAACAGTTATAATGAGCACTTTCCTCTGCCCCTTGTATCTTGTAATAGCCAAGTTTGACTGAAAATGCCTGATGTATGGAACCATATATTTTTGTTTTGAAAACTTGTATCACTTATTGCAGAAAAATTGTGATGTCCCTGTTGATGTATCTAAGTCTTTCTACTGTGGGGATGCAGCTGGAAGGGAGGCTAACTGGGCTCCAAAAAAGAAGAAAGATTTTTCATCATCAGATAGACTTATGGCACTTAATTTAGGCCTGAAATTTTACACACCTGAGGAGCACTTCTTGCAACAACGTCCTGCAACATTCAAACTCCCAGATTTCAACCCTTCAATTCTTCAGACTGATCTGCCACTATATGAACCATGTGACATAAAGCTTATATCTGACACAAAAGAGGTATCTTTGTTTGCAGATTTTCTTCCTATAAAGTCAAATTCATGACTTGTGGAGTAATAAAATACAATACAATGTTACACAATCCTGGGTCTTTGGAATCTGTGAACCAATTTTGTATAGACAAACTTGGTTACATTTACTATATTTTTACATGTAATTACCTTGTTAAAAAAATCTGGTCCAGTGACACATGAAAGCATGTATTCCCACATGGTGAAAGCTGTCTGGCATATCATACAATAATTTCTTTATGTCTGTCTTCATGGAATTGTGATAGTCAAATTGCCACCCACATTATGCATTTTTTAAAGACCAGATGAAGGTCTAAGTGTGCTAGACCTGGGTTATATGAAGGATGTGAAAGTACAGTATACCTGAACATCATGACTTCTTTTGTGGTTACGCAGAATAACTATTAAGTAATGGTACTTTGGAACATTGTGCAAACTATAGGCAGAATTCACATAGGTATGCATACTGAAGACATTTCGCTCCAACATGATAATGCAAGGACACA